TTTCTTTCCTGACCACCTGGCACATGGTTATTCTTCTCAAAGTAAAATCATGTAAGAAAAAGTGCCCTCTTTCATGAGAAACAACCAAAGAAATGAACCGACCAAAAAAAAAAAAAACCACTTTCCAAATGGACCAGTTTTGAATGATTCTTTTTTTTTTTTACAAGCAAGTGAAAATAACTTGTTTTCCTCTTCATCCTCCCCCCCATCTGAGTCAGTTTTTGAAATCTGTATTTAGTTGTTTCCTATGAGAAGGGGGGTGTAACTAGGTGTAGCGTGTGCATTTTCCCGTGGCCCCTCCATTCAGAATGCCACATTTTAGTTTGTGTGACACAGTGCTGGAGTGCGGACTTGCCTGGAGACCTGGGGAGGGGTTTAGCCGGCGTGGTGGGGGAGGGTCAGCCTGGTAGCTTGGCTGAAGGGAAGTGGTATCTGTACAGTTCGTTTCTCCGTAAACTGCTGGTGTTAAGAAAATGGGGGGTGGGGTAGGGGAAGACGGGTGGTGGCGTTTTAATGTTTCAAAATGGGTGATAGTTTGTATTTTAAAGGAAATAAGCATTTTTAGTTCATCCATATTTATACTGGAATTCCTTAAGAGCGGTAATATCGCTGTCAGCATCTTGTAATTACTAATCGTTTGAACCAATTGAAAAGGTAAAAAGCATTTTTGAAACGGGGATGGGGGGTGGGCAGCCAGGGAAGGGACAGTGGGAGCTTATCCATTATTACATTTTGATTTGACTCTCCTACCCACTCGAGGTGGACTTTTAAAATGTCAGGGTCTCGTCAATAGTGTACGAATTTACAATTTTTCCTGCCACTTGCCCCTTTTTCTTCACCCCACCACCAGTCCGCGCGGGCGTTTTTCTCCCCCACCTCGCTCTCCCGCTCTGCAGCCACCGCTCCGGGCTGCTCCTCTTCACCTCCCCTGCCTGGCGCTCCCCTCCCCCCTCCACCCTACCTCTTCTTGCTGTTGGGGAACAATCACCACTGATTGAGGTTCACTCTGTGTTAGGCTGAAAAACTGGGCTGTTATTTAGGAAGTCATTAATCACATCTCCTCCCCCGGAAAGAGATGGCGGAGAAACCTGTGATGTTCAATTCCTTACCAACCCCCCTCAAAAATGTTCCGAAATGATGAACCTAAACACAAATTGACCACATGAAAGCGATTTTTTCCCCCGGTAAGGTTATATTTTAAATTTCAAAATATTTCAGAGCACAATCAGGTAATTGTGTTCTTCATTTTTGTAGGTGTATGTCACCATTATCGAAAGTTGCATGGGCATGTAATTAGATTTAACTAGATCTTTTAAAAATTGTGTTTATTCCTCTACGAATTGAATTAAATATGAAATTAATGTTCCAAGCAGGTTTACTGCTCTCAAGTAGCTGAATTCTTGGGGAGGAGGGAAGCCTAACATCGGTTGCATTATTTAAATAACTCACCCACCTCCAAATAAGATTATTTAGACAGGCTTGTGTGTAAGGCACGCGTGTGCACATATAGGACTGCCTTTTCTCTAAATCGACAATTTACAAGGACCCTCCATTGTGTTAAAGTAGAAGCACGAAATCAGCATTCTGATTTATCGTAAAGAAGCGTCCCAAATTGTCTTTAAGATAACGTGCTTGAGTTTTTCATGTTCATTCATAAATTATTTTGATGTCAGCATAGATGAAATGGCGATTGGTTATCTCTTCCTCTTGCCAGCCCCTTAAGGATCCGAGGTGAAATTAGTAGCAAGAAAGCATGTAATTGACAAAGTCACGTGTGCTCAGGGGGCCAGAAACTGGAGAGAGAAGAGAAAAAAAAATCAAAAGAAGGAAAGCACATTAGACCATGCGAGCTAAATTTGTGATCGCACAAAATCAAGATGTTAGATTGATGCAGAAGATCACTCCGTTCCAAAGGGAAAGTTTTCATCTCACGAGTTTGGAGCTGAGGGCCGGTGGGGCAACATGGCCGAAGGTTAATTTTCTTTTCTATTGTTTTACTGTGATTTTCTTTCTTCTTTTCTCTTCCCCCTCCCCCTTTCCCATCCTTCTTTGCCCGTCCCCCCCTTACCCTTTTACCCCAATACTAAATAGTTGCCATATCTAATATCACAAAACTTTCATATTTTTCTTTTGTGTGTTTTACAATTTTAGCTTTTGGTTTAGATCTTTGATCCTTTGTGAGTTCTATATTTAGTGTAAGGTGAGGGCTCATTTTTCCCTTCATAGGGTAAGTGTACTTGCTGGGGAGAGAGAGACAGAGAAAGGGAAGGAAAGTGAGAAATCACCCCCTAGGTGAGTGGCCATACCACAGTTCTTTCTCCTCCATTCTTCTCTTGGGATTTTTGGGCATGCATGCACATGTACTCAGTGTCATTTTTCAAGTTGCAGGACTTAAACCACAGTTGACCATGTAGGAATTCAGCACCTTAATCACTGTGCCACCTGCTGGCTTCACCCTACCTCATCCCCCATCGCGCGTTGGAGCTTTCTGCAAACCTATTTTTATAAATCTCCAAAAATGTTTTGTACCGCCCACACCGATTCAGGACTTGAAAAGCTTTCAGGGGGCTATTGTTTGAATTGTTTGAATGTGATTAAGCGCAGTTTCAGTTAGTGAGCCCAAGAAAACTTTTATACACCTGCCCCCTCCCCCATTCCACCCCAACTTTAATGGGAAGTTATGGGGGGGAGGGGAACGCACATTGCCAATAGCCCTGGATTCACGGCTGCCGCATGTGCGTTAATAGTTCTAACCATCTTCATGATTTCCTCCTCCCGCCTGCTGGAGAGAACAGTTTCGCTAAAATTTTCTCTTCATAGCTGGGATCAGTGTTAAATCAGCAATCTGCAAGTAAAATATCGCATGCTGTACTGTAATCTGTGGCTGAAAAACGGAGTTAAATGAAAAAGTACACGTATGTACAGAAACGTGGAAGTTGGTGTGATCGATAGAACAGTGTGGCTTCCCCCTCCCCCGCTTCCTTTTTAACCCTTTTTATTTTAAAGTAATTTCTCTTGAAGACAAGAAGGCATCAAGCCATTTATTAACGTTTTTCCTATTTCCTCTCTCCCCCCAAGCACCTCCCCCCCCCTTTTCAATGAGCACAGAATGGGAATACAGACTAACTGACTTTTTTGTCCTGTTCTATCTCAGGCGGGGCAGGCAAAGGTGGTGGAGAAGAGCCCGGGAAGCTGCCAGAGCAGGCAGAGGAAGAATCCCAGGTTTTGCACGGAACTGGCCACTGTAAGTGGTTCAATGTGCGCATGGGATTTGGATTCATCTCCATGGTAAACCGAGAGGGAAGCCCCCTGGACATTCCTGTCGATGTATTTGTACACCAAGTAAGCCAAACTTCTTTCTCCCCGCTTCACCTTTTTCCATGTGGAGAAGTTGATCAGTTTTATCAGTAGACATGCAATAATGTACCCTTTGGGATATTAAAAGACAAAAATTCTTAAAATCACGAGGTAATCCAGTTTTTAAGGTATGCATCTGAGCTCCTTCTTGGGTATCTTTTCTTAGGTATAAAACGAAGTCTGAAATTTTACACTTTTGTATCCGGTTGACTTTATTAGTATTTTCCCTTCTACCTTCGACAGTGAAATTGCGTTCGTGTAGCTTCCGGTGTTACTGGTTGCAATATACTCTGTCGCTTTTGCTTGCTGAATGGGTAGAAAATGAATGAAGAAACAGTATCCTTTGAAGATTAAAAAACAGAGCAAAATGATTTGCATTTAGAAAAAATGTGTACACTTGCTTATTTTAGACACCTTTAATCCCAGTAGATTCCTCTTATTTCATTGCTTCCTGCCCTGAAGTCATTTGTAAATTTAGATTAGAATACTTTGATTCCACAGCTAAGTAAAGTAGATTACTGTTGGTCTAGTTTGGGCTTGAAGAAATATAAGATAGGACACTTGGTAACCAAACAATTTAGAAATGTGCTCCCGGTAGTACCTTGGTCCAAGGATACTGTCTCTTTAAGAGACTGAACTCAAAAACACATGTGGCCAGAGGCGGCTCTAGCTTCTGTGTTTAAAATGTGCTAGTCTGCTACTTAGGGTAAATTTCTACCATTGCTTATAATTGTGTTGTAATTTTTTGAGTTGCATACATACCTAAGAGAATGTCATTGGTTCCCATTTTAAAATTTTTACCTAGCAAATAATAAACTCATACCTCTTCCCCTTCCACTTTCTTGCTTCATCACTTGAAGGAAAAAAGATACTTGGAATGTGCAAGTCTGACCCATCAAAAAATTAACAAAATGTAAATTCTTTGTTGTCACTTCATGAAATAAAGAGGTTTAGGACTAAAGGGGGTTATTTTGGCTTGACATTTAAGGTAAAAAGAATTCAGTGAGTGAGTGTCTGTTAATAGTACAGGTTAACTGACATTGAAGTATGCCTGAATACTTGTTTGCTTGCATGAAAATTATATATTTACTTTGTTGCATGCTCCGGTAATGTTTACACCTCTTTCCCACCCTAAGGGATATCATCTTCAAATTCAGTATATAAACACACGAAACATATGAAACCATTCTGTTTTGATCTGTTGTCCTGTGGCGCATGGTAGCTTCCTGACCTTGCTGTGTGGTGTGTGTTTTCCTTTCCTAAAGGCCTGGCCATCATTATTGGCTGTTTACATGTGGAAGGATCAGCATAATCTGTGAATTGAAACAGGTTTTAAATATATAAATAGGAGTCCACATACAGGCTACTGGATTTTCTGTGTCCTACTTTCCATTGCAAAATGAATCTGCATTTTCTGTTTTTCCTCCTCATACTGAATACCTAAAAATCATTGACAAATCCATTTTCTCTCAGCCTCTTGCTTCCCCCTTTGAACCTTCTTTAGGTTGTTAAATTGTTCTTTACGATCTCATAAATTTGTTTTATAGATGAATGAAAAAAATAACCCTTTTCTTCTTTGTCTAATCACACCTTGTTATAATTTGTTTTTCTCTGTTTTCCTTTTAAAATATTCAGATATTAAATATTTTATTAACCAGTGTTAATGTTTAGAACCATGAGCATCCAAATTTGAGCAGTTTAGTGGTTATGTTGAACATTCCTACATCCACTGAATTAATAAATTGCTGTTAAAAGTTTTTTAATATATAGCTAACAGTTTCCAGATTACAAACATTAATTTTTAATGTTACTTGCTTTAATCTTCTCTAATGCATCATGTGTATATGAAAATAACAGTATTGAATGATGTCTAGTTAAAGGAGTATCCATCCTAAACGGAGATTTATACAAATTGCATATAATTATATGAAGTTGTTGTTTTTGTAGGAATCCTACTGATTTTAGCTAAGCAACTATAGTAACAGATACTTGTTAGTGATGAATAAATATATTATGTGAGCATTCCTAATCAGGTTGCAATTTAAAGACATTTCATAAGATTTTTATAAACTTTATTTATTTTTTAATTTTAGCTGCCATTTTATGAGTATTTTTGAAAATATATCAGGCTGTATGTATAGTTGTAAGTTAGATTTTTCCCTCATGATGTCTGTATTCTGTTTTATTATGCAACATTCTGTATCATAGATAATTAGAAATTTTAAGTGTTCAACTGGATTAATATCTACTTAAATTATTTAAAATATATGTCATAGTTGGTTTCTTTTTTTGAATATTCATAAGTACACGTGTCATTGGAAAAAGAATTCTGAAAGATGTTTTTCAGTTTCATATATTTGGGAAAGTAAAAAAATGATTTTAGTTTTTTAAAAATAATATTTAAAAAATTCATGCCAAGGCACCTGTGACTTTTTTTTTTTTCTTTCTCTTTTGAAAATATTGACTATAGGGAACTGCCTATCAAACAGTTCAATTGCTGTGAAATACAGGGGAATATATGTGTACGTTTTTAAACAGAGCTGTGTATTTTTATTTGCCTCATTTTATTTAAAAGTTGTTGGCAAAAATACAACCAAACTTCCTTGTAGTTCCTGTAATGTTGTCACTAACTTCTCAAAAAAAAAAAAAAAAAAAAGAAGCCTAGACACTGTACTTCTCTGTCTTTACATATGTTCTTAATGTGGTAAGTGATATTCTGCTTTTGAGGTTGGAATATGACTATTGATGGTTTATGACATTCTGATTTTCTAATGTTACCTTGTGATGAAAATGATAATACTGTTATTGTTAGAAAAACGAATATATATAATCTGACCATTCTTAATAGTGGAACACTGAGAGTTCAATAATGAATATTTTATTTTTAAAGTCTTAACAAATATGTGAGTATTATTTTTGTAAATTTTGTCACACCTCATTGTTTTCAAGGTGTTCCTTAAAATAACAAAATTTTAAAATTTTCATGGTGATTTAGTGTACTAAAGGATAAATTTAGAAGACTTTCTTAAGAATCCCATATTAAACAGAGGTTTGTCTCTATTGAAGAAAGAATATGCATGGCTAATACAAATTTGTAAGACTAGGTTTTTACAGACATGATTTCGTTAATTCATATATGATTATTTTGTGTTAATAGTTGATACTCTTATTCATTTCTTAAAGTAGTTTAAAAAATTGCATCCACAGATAGATCACAGTTAACATGTTTAAGTTGTTTGGAAAAGGTCACTCGGCTTTTAAAAATTATACAAGTTTTTAATAGGACTTAAATATTTTTTGATGCTTTACAGGAATTGTATGATAATTAAATTTAAGATCATTTGGAGAAGGCCAGTGTTACCCAATAACTATGTGTTGGTGTTTGTTTTTATATTAAGTTTTCTTTACATAGATTTTGATGTTTATTTCCAAAGTCATTATTTCACCTAATATGATAAATGATTGAATTTTATTTTGTCCTGAGGAAGGATAGCATCCATTTTACTTGTTGCCCTCTCCTCAGTTCATTTGCAAAATAATACTTCCTTCATATATTGGGCTTATATATGTTTGAAATTTTTCATCATCAAATGTCATACAAATAATTTAAACATAAAACATACTTCATAATTTGTACAAGAATTTATTTTCCAAAGAGAGTGTAATTTCAAATGACTGCCAAAAATGTCATTTTTTCAATAGGTTTAAGTATTTACTAGTAAATTGGTTTTGAAATCTTCATTTACTTTAAAATATTGCTATTCTTTTTATTTCAGATATATTTTCTGATCTTTATGGAAAATACAAATGTCTGTGTCACAAAGATTTTATATATTTTAGGTTCCTGTTGTTATTTCTTAGAAAACATCTGAAGGAATAATGGAAATAGAAGAAATAAAAATAAATTTAATATATTATGAACAGTATTGGCTTTGAAAACATTTGGAGATGACTAATTTAAATATATGAACATTTTAACTATTATGCACAGTTCCATTAACTGATTTGTCATAGAACTCAGTGTGTTTTCAGCATTAGTTATATAACTTATGAAGATAAATTTACTCCAAGATTTCCATGTTTAAGGGCATTTCACAGTATTTCATTGCTGATTAATCAGCCATATTTACCTTTGTCATGCTTTAGTGTGCAGACATTTTTTTCACATCTAGAATGTATGTAATGATTATACTCAGCTCTTAAAATGTTAATTAAAACAATATTTAGATAGAAAAATCTTAGAAATTTAATGTTTTTGTAAAAACAGTTACAGCTCATTTGTATGTAGTGAATTATGCATTTTACTATTCTGAATACCTTCTAAATTTGTAAGATGATTTGTCCAGTTGACCAATTTGGAAGAATTTCAAACTGAATGCTTCAAAGTGATTTTAATCATGAGATTACATTTAAAGGCATTTACGTAAAAATATTTTAAGATTTTAATGTAGAGCATATACTGGGTACTTCCCTTTTGATTATCAAATAATGGTGCATTTTCCAGATTGTGTGTGTGTGTGTGTGTGTGTGTGTGTGTGTATAGTTTACTTACCTTCTGAACAGATGCTCTTATTTAAACCTCAAAATAGGAATTAGGTAAATATTTGACATAGTCCTTGTTTTTAGCATTCTTGTACTCTTAAATATGTTTATAAAAAATGTTTAAGACCTCATTTTTTCACAGCAGTTTTAGGTTCACAGCAAAAATCAAAAGGAAGGTGAGAGATTTTCCATTTATCCCCTGCATACAAACATTCCTCCACCAGAGTGATAGCTTTGTTAAAATTGATGGACCTGCCTTGACTCATCATAATCACCTCCCATCCATGTTGTACTTGAGGGTTAGCTCTTCAAGTTGCACATTCCAATTTATTTTTGTTTCTTTTTTTTCCAAAAAGACGATTTACAACGAACAAAGGCAATAAATCAAAGAGTTGTTTTTAAAATAAATACACAAGTGGCAAAGCACTTACAAGTATTCATTA